TATCCCTAACCCAGATAATATTATAAACTAGTGAAATCTTTAATTTAGCTAATATTAAAGAAACCCCGAGAATAATATTAAGTGGACACACACATGCATTCTATGTAAGTCAATCTCCAAATGACCTTAGTCATAACAGTGATTCAATTTGTATGGTACATTTTTACAGTACACACAAATTTTCAGGAACATAGCCATGCTTCTTGTGAGACTGCTATACTACTGTTACAAGTAGAATATTGGTGGTTTAAATACTGATAGTAAGATTTGTGAAATATCAAGAGTGACACCAGTTGTTCAGATGGTTTAGATGGAAGGCTGGGCTCTGGGGTCAAAAAAAACCTTAACCCTTTCAGGGTCAGCAGGCCCTCTCCTAAACTTGTTCTCAGGGTTGGAAATTTTTCGAAAATTTTTTTTTTTTCTCATGAATGATAGGGAATCTTTTCCCAATCATAATGACACCAAAAATATGAAATTTGATGGAAAACTTATGGAATTATGCTCTCGTGAAGTTAGCGGTCTCGACGATGTTTACGCATTGGCGATTTCGCCCACTTTGAGCTCTATTTTTGGCCAATTCCAATGTACCAGTTGACAAAAATCATAACTATTTCGCTATAACTCCATTTTTTCTACCAAGTGAGTACAAGAAACCACCCATTTACCGATTTCAACTATCCAATAAAGTGGTCAGAAATTGGCAATTTTGCCAATTTCAAGCAAATTTCAAACAATGCCAATTTCCAAATAGGGTCCAGAATAAACAAGACAGACATTCCTGGCAGGAAAATAAAAATTTTTCTGTTCATTAGTCACGTCCCCAGGCCTCTCTTACATTTCTTTTCCTTTCCACTTTGAATTTTTATTCTCACAAAAAATAGAAGATTTACTGCTATGCAGACTACTGCATTAGTGTAGAAATGGTATAAATAATGTCAGTGCACTTGTGAAAGAATATTAAACTCACTAGTTGATGTGTATTGGACACATGGCATGATTTGTATACTTTTGAACTTCGGCAAAAATCGAACATTTCTGCTACTTTGAGCTCAATTTCAAGGTACTTTTCATTCAGAAACCAATCAAAATCATCTCAGTTTCCATAGTATGTCTTCCATTCTATAAAATGAGACCAGGAAAACTGCAATACAATTATAAATAGCATACGAAAATACACTGCAAAGTCGCTGTTTTAAACCAAAAACACGGTCAGAGTTTTTTTTCTCATTATGCACTGTGTGCTGCAGGATTTTTTTATACTGTGCACACTGACCACATAGACCCATTCTTTCATATGTAGGCCTACCAGCTTTCTCTTGCTAGATTTGAAGGCGCTAGAATTCTAGTACAGCACCAACCCTGCCGTGCAAGCCATACTAGTACGGCACCAACCCTGAAAAGGTTAAAGCCAGTCAGGGCTGATTGGTATTACTGGCCATGCTTGACTTGATTTGACAGTGTGCTTGTGCCCTGGTGCAGCTGATTGATAGACTGAATAAAGCTGTCATCTGCTGCATATAATATTTGATGGAAAATTTAAGACACAAAGCATTATGTTTTATTGCAAAAAATTTAAAATGGTATATCTTCTTCTTTCAACAAACTGGTTGTATCTGACCAAGGCAGGGTGGCCCAAGAAGAAAAATGAAAGTGTCTCTTTTTAAATTTAGTAATTTACACAGGAAAAGAGGTTACTAACCCCTTGCTCCCGGCATTTTAGTCGCCTCTTATGCATGGCTTACGGAGGAAGAATTCTGTTCCACTTCCCCATGGAGGTATATATATATACCATTAGTATATATATGTCATACCAAATAGGTTAAACTCGTCAGTTTGCAAGAACTCATTTAAAATTAAGTCCTTTCTAAAATTTTCTCTTATGCATTTAAAGATATATTTTTTCATTTATGTTAATGTAAAAATTAATAATTTTGTACCAAAAGAACCTTAGAAAACTTACCTAACTTTATTATAACAAGTGGAATTTAATTTAGTCTAATCCAGCTTAATATATTTTAGATAAGTTTACAATAATTTAATAATAAACAAACACAATGAAATATATATTTTTCGTTAGGTTCAGAATGATTTTTGCGAAATTATTGCATACACAAATTTCCCTTGCCTTATTCGGCAAGAAGAACATTGCTGTTTAAGCCAAAATCACAAGTTTTACCTATTTGGCATGACATATATAGCATATATACCAGTACTTTTTTTTTTTTACTATGGGGGTCAGTCAGTACAAGTTTTTTTTTGTATTTCATGAGCTAAGTTAGACTAAATATTAACACCTACCACTAGTATTGCACCATTTGGCACTTCATAAATACAACATATGGCAGAATGATATGCATCATTGTGACAAACATTTGGTGAACATATCTCATGCACAGACATACAGTATTATACAGTATAGTGGTATCTGTTGCGAAAAGTAGGTTTTTTTACCATGAAGGTTTGGGCTAGTTGCTATATAGACACTACCTGCTGTTATCTCATTTGGGGAAAAAGTGTCAATTTATATTTAGATGCTGCCTGACAGCTGTTTTGATCATACATTTTGTTTTTTGTTTAACCCTTTCGGGGTCCATGCCATAGATGTACGGCTTTACATTGAGGGTCCATACCATAGATCTACGCCATGAGCTCAGCTCACTCTGATAAGCTGTGAGCGGCAAATTTGGGCCTAGATATGAGAGAATACATCTATGTGGTATGTGTGCACCACATAAAACAAATCCTGCAGCACCCAGTGCATAATGAGAGGAAAAAAAAACTGAGGCCGTAATTTTTGTTTAAAACAGCCACTTTGCAGTGTTTTTTCATGTTTTCTATAGTTGTATTTGCAATTTCTTGGTCTCATTTAATAGAATGGAAGATATATTACAGAAATAGAGATGATTTTGATTGGTTTTCATACGGAAAATGGCTTGAAATTGAGTTCAAAGTAGTGGAAATGTTAAAGTTTTGCCAATGTTCAAGAGTGAACAAATGACCTCACATGTCTAATACACGCCAGCTGGTGGGCCTAATATACATATACAAATGTGGTGATATTATTTATACAATTATTGCAATATTGCATAACAGTAAATCTTCTATTTTTTGGTTTGAACAAAAATTCATAATGTGAATAAAAAATCAAAATGGAATTCATTTGTAAAGCCTGAAAACATAACTAATGAACAGAGGAAATGTTAGTTTAGTGCCAGGAATGCCTAAATTGTTTATTCTGGACCCTATTTTGAAATTGGAATATTTTGAACTTTGCATTAAATTGGCCAAATTACCAATTTCTGATCACTTTATTTTGTAGTTGAAACAGTTGACTTTGCGATTTCTTGTGCTCAATCGATAGAATAGAAGTAATACTAGTGAAATAGCTAAGAATTTGATCGACTGGAATAATGTAATTGGCCTAAAATGGAAGTCAAAGTCAGCAAAATTGCTGATGTGTAAATATCGCTGACACATCAAAATTCGTGAGAGAATAATTTCGAAAATTTTCCATCAAATTTCGTACTTTTTGTTTTATTACCTTCTGTTATGACCAAGGTCATAATGAGATTAATTTACATATGTATTATCCACTTAATATTATACTTGGGGTTTCTTTAATATTAGCTAAATTAAAGATTCCACTAGTTTATAATATTATCTGATTTAGGAATATACCCGGGTATGATGTGTATATATATATATTTATGTATTTTGAGTAATGTGTTGGGTAGGTAGGTAACAGCTGGCTAAGAGTTGAAACAAGGTATGTCCTTGGAGGGTAGTTTAGTCTACTCTTCCCTCTCCCCTTTGGCGAGTTGATGTCATGTAGGGATTAACTGTGTTAATTCAGTTCGCTCTCTCTGCCGACTCAGTGTGCATTGACTGAGCTACCCCTCCAGTACTCCACCGTATTCTCACTTGGATAGAGAATTCTGTTGTAGAAACTCCTGAACCAGCTTGAGGTTTATTCTGAAGTGAAGTCTGCGGACAGTTATATGCTGTTACCTTCAGTTTACGATATGACGGCCTGTGTCAAGTTTAGAACTTTAAGTGATATATTCCTTATGCCAGGGAGTTACTCAGTGAAGGTGTCCCTTCTCAATGTATATACTCGCATACAAGTAATGTCATTATTGAGGAAGCAGTAATATTCTTCTGATCATTTAACAAGTGTAGTGACCATATTGAGGTACATTCTATTTAAGCGTTTTCTTATGTGAATGAAAGTTTCTGACGAAGCGATATTTAATAGATATTTATGAATATCTAAGAAGTATTTAAGCTTTTAAATAAAAAGAAACTAGAAAAGACTGAGTAACTATTGTTTGTGCCTTACATTTCTAAGTTTGGAAGTATCTTCTCATTCTATGAAGTGTATTGTTACGGAGTGCACTAACCTGGCTAAAGATTAAGATTCAAACCATAACACCTTCAGAAAAAGAATCTACACCATTTCATAAGAAAAAATAACAAAATTACTTTTTGAAAATTCTTAGACCCTGGTGCACACTTTCAAATTTGGCCTCTGGACCCTGAACGGGTTAAAAGTTTTCACTTTTGCAGTGGTCCACCATAACTACAATACAGAAGGGTTGAGACACTTATGCAACACATGGGAATCTTTATTGAAGAAACGTTTCACCACACAGTGGCTTCATCAGTCCAATACAAAGTAGAAATGGGTAAGGAGAGTAGAAGTATGAGGTAATCAGTCCCTGATGGACTGAACACAACCTGGATTCGATGTGTTCAGTCCATGAGGGACTGATTACCTCATACTTCTACTCTCCTTACCCATTTCTACTTTGTATTGGACTGATGAAGCCACTGTGTGGCGAAACGTTTCTTCAATAAAGATTCCCATGTGTTGCATAAGTGTCTCAGTTCTTCAACTTGTCGGTTTTCAAAACCATTCATCACACAATACAGAAGGGAAGAAGGATGTTCTGAGTGCCCTTGAGCAATTTAATCACATCTATTTATATTACTTTAAACAGATGAAGGAGAAACAGCTGCAAGAATTTGAGGCACAGTTAGCAGCATCACGCGCTGAATCAGAGAATGAGAGAAGCCGACTTAATACTCTTATACAAAGACTCGAGAGCACCCTCATGCTGCAAGGTTCAGAGGTAAATGTTCCTGTCACTTTTTGTTTGTTATTGGGAAGATAATTATAGTTTCATTTAGCTTTAAAACATGTCTGCTCATTATACATCATCTTATGTACCATTCTAACTGAAAACACAAGAGAAAATGTAATTTGAACTATGATGTATCTGCACTTCTGACAAGACAGCTATTGAATGAATGATGATGAATGTGTTCTTTTGTATAGGGATCACCCAACATAGTTGGATACAGCCAGTGCATTAAAAAAATATAACATTTTTACTAGTTCTACACTTGTACAGTGCATTAGAGAATTAAAATCCCACTTGATAATTGATAAGATAAATCTGTCCCATGGGAACAGTGTGCAATAGAATTCTTCCTCCCATAAGCCTTTCTTGTTGTAAAAGACAAATAAAATGCAAGGAGAAAAGGGTTAGCATCCCCTTCTGTACTCACTCACTAAATATCAAGAAAGAACATTTGATACTGGGGTGTTTGTGTGCATGCTTGTATTACAGATGATAGGAAAGAATTGAATGAGTGAAAAAAAAGTTGGATGTCCTATCACTAAGTGCAACAGAGACTAAAGGGGATAGGAGACTTTAAATGGGTAGGTGTAAATAGGATTAAGTTGAATTTATCAGAGAGAATTAGAGCCAAGGAAGATGTAGTGATATACTGAATGATCAGTTAATTATGGAAAGGAAAAGGTGTTGTTATTGTTTAAACTCAAGAATTAACATATGTGAGTTTGAATAAAAGTGGGATGTAAGAAGTGGATTATAGTGTACAACTGAGGACTAGAGGTGTGTGTGTGTGTGTGTGTGTGTGTAATAGTGCAAATGATGGTGAAAGTGTTAATTTTTTGGGTCACCCCACCTCAGTGGGAGACAGCCAGTGTGTTAAAAAATTGTACATTTTTTTTTTCATCAAACTGGCCATATCCCTCCAAGGCAGATACATATATATATTTCTTTTATTAACACATCAGCCTTCTCCCACCAAGGCAAGGTGGCTCGAAAGAGAAAAACTCATCGTCATTCTCTTTATCACTGTCACTGTCTTGCCAGAGGTGCGCTTACACTACAGTTATAAAACTGCAACATTAACACCCCTCCTTCAGAGTACAGGCACTGTACTTCCTGTCTCCAGGACTCAAGTCTGGCCTGCTGGTTTCCCTGAATCCCTTCATAAATGTTACCTTGCTCACACTCCAACAGCATGTCAAGTCCTAAAAACCATTTGTCTCCATTCGCTCCTATCTAACACGTTCACACATGCTTGCTGGAAGTCCAAGCCCCTCACACACAAGACCACCTTTACCCCCTCCCTCCAATCTTTCCTAGGCCAGCCTCTACCCTGCCTTCCCTCCACTACAGATTTATACACTTAAAGTCATTTTGTTTTGTTCCATCCTCTCTACATGTCCAAATCACCTCAACAACCCCTCCTCAGCCCTCTGGATAGTAATTTTGGTAATCCCACACCTCTTCCTAATTTCCAAACTATGAATTCTCTGCATTATACTCACACCACACATTGCCCTCAGACATGACATCTCCGCTATCTCCAGTCTTCTCTTTGTTGCAACATTCACCACCCATGCTTGAAACCCATATAAGAGTGTTGGTATAACTATACTCTCATACATTCCCTTCTTTGCATCTATGGACAAAGTTCTTCGTCTCCACAGACTCCTAAGTGCACCACTCGCCTTTTTCCCTTCATCAGTTCTATGATTCACCTCATCTTTCATAGATCTATCTGCTGACATGTCCACTCCTAAATATCTGAATACATTCACCTCCTCCATACTCTCTCCCTCCAATCTGATATCCAGTCTTTTGTTACCTAAGTTTTTTTGGTATCCTCATCACTTTACTCTTTCCCATATTCACTTTCAATTTTCTTCTTTTACATGCCCTACCAAATTCATCCACCAACCAAGAACAGTGTCATGAGGAAAGAGCAACTGTGACAACTCCCACTTTGTGTTAGATTCTTTATCTTTTAACCCCACACCTCTTGCCAAGACCCTCGCATTTACTTCTCTTACAACCCCATCTATAAATATATTGAACAACCATGGTGACATCACACATCCTTGTCTAAGGCCTACTTTTACTGGGAAATAATCTCCCTCTCTTCTACATACTCTAACCTGAGCTTCACTACCCTCATAAAAACTTCACTGCTTTCAGTAACTTGCCTCCTATTCCATACATTTGCAACATCTGCCACATTATCCTCCTATCTACCCTGTCATATGTCTTTTGCAAATCCATAAATGCCACAAAAACCTCTTTACCCTTATTTAATACTGTTCACCTATATTTTTTTTTTTTTTTTTCAACAAGTCGGTCGTCTCCCACCGAGGCAGGGTGACCCAAAAAAAAAGAAAGAAAATCCCCAAAAAGAAAATACTTTCATCATCATTCAACACTTTCACCACACTCACACATTATCACTGCTTTTGCAGAGGTGCTCAGAATACAACAGTTTAGAAGCATATACGTATAGAGATACACAACACATCCCTCCAAACTGCCAATATCCCAAACCCCTCCTTTAAAGTGCAGGCATTGTACTTCCCATTTCCAGGACTCAAGTCCAACTATATGAAAATAACCGGTTTCCCTGAATCCCTTCACTAAATATTACCCTGCTCACACTCCAACAGATCGTCAGGTCCCAAGTATCATTCGTCTCCATTCACTCCTATCTAACACGCTCATGCACGCTGCTGGAAGTCCAAGCCCCTCAACCCACAAAACCTCCTTTAACCCCCTCTTTCCAACCCTTTCGAGGACGACCCCTACCCCTCTTTCCTTCCCCTATAGATTTATATGCTTTCCATGTCATTCTACTTTGATCCATTCTCTCTAAATGACCAAACCACCTCAACAACCCCTCTTCTGCCCTCTGACTAATGCTTTTATTAACTCCAACACCTTCTCCTAATTTCCACTCTCCGAATTTTCTGCATAATATTTACACCACACATTGCCCTTAGACAGGACATCTCCACTGCCTCCAACGTCTCCCTGCTGCTGCATTTACCACCCAAGCTTCACATCCATATAAGAGTGTTGGTACTACTATACTTTCATACATTCCCTTCTTGCCTCCATAGATAACGTTTTTTGACTCCACATATACCTCAACGCACCACTCACCTTTTTTCCCTCATCAATTCTATGATTAACCTCATCCTTCATAAATCCATCCGCCGACACGTCAACTCCCAAGTATCTGAAAACATTCACTTCTTCCATACTCCTCCCCAATTTGATATCCAATTTTTCTTTATCTAAATCATTTGATACCCTCATCACCTTACTCTTTTCTATGTTCACTTTCAACTTTCCTACCTTTACACACATTCTCAAACTCATCCACTAACCTTTGCAATTTTTCTTTAGAATCTCCCATAAGCACAGTATCATCAGCAAAAAGTAACTGTGTCAATTCCCATTTTGAATTTGATTCCCCATAATTTAATCCCACCCCTCTCCCGAACACCCTAGCATTTACTTCTTTTACAACCCCATCTATAAATATATTAAACAACCATGGTGACATTACACATCCCTGTCTAAGACCTACTTTTACCGGGAAGTATTCTCCCTCTCTTCTACACACCCTAACCTGAGCCTCACTATCCTCATAAAAGCTCTTTACAGCATTTAGTAACTTATCACCTATTCCATATACTTGCAACATCTGCCACATTGCTCCTCTATCCACTCTATCATATGCCTTTTCTAAATCCATAAATGCAATAAAAACTTCCCTACCTTTATCTAAATACTGTTCACATATATGCTTCAATGTAAACACTTGATCTACACATCCCCTACCCACTCTGAAGCCTCCTTGCTCGTCCGCAATTCTACATTCTGTCTTACCTCTAATTCTTTCAATTATAACCCTACCGTATACTTTTCCTGGTATACTCAGTAAACTTATTCCTCTATAATTTTTACAATCTCTTTTGTCCCCTTTCCCTTTATATAAAGGGACTATACATGCTCTCCCGCCAATCCCTAGGTACCTTCCCCTCTTTCATACATTTATTAAACAAAAGTACCAATCACTCCAACACTATATCCCCCCCTGCTTTTAACATTTCTGTCATGATCCCATCAGTTCCAGCTGCTTTACCCCCTTTCATTCTATGTAATGCCTCACGTACCTCCACCACACTTACATTCTGCTCTTCTTCACTCCTAAAAGATGGTATACCTCCCTGGCCAGTGCATGAAATTACTGCCTCCCTTTCTTCCTTAACATTTAAAAGTTCCTCAAAATATTCTCTCCATATATATTTCACTGTAAACATTTGGTCTGCACACCCCCTACCTTTCCTGAAGCCTCCTTGTTCATCTCTGTCTTACTCTTAATTCTTTCAATAATAACTCTACCATACACTTTAACAGGTATACTCAAAAGACTTGTTAAAAAAAAAAAAAAAAGTCGGCTGTCTCCCACCAAAGCAGGGTGACTCAAAAAGAAAGAAAATCCCCCAAAAAGAAAATACTTTCATCATCATTCAACACTTTCACCTCACTCACACACAATCACTGTTTTTGCAGAGGTACTCAGAATACAACAGTTTAGAAGCATATACTTATAAAGATACACAACATATCTGCATAATATTTACACCACACATTGCCCTTAGACAGGACATCTCCACTGCCTCCAAGCGTCTCCTCGCTACAGCATTTACAACCCAAGCTTCACACTCATATAAGAGTATTGGTACCACTGTACTTTAATACATTCCCTTCTTTGCCTCCATAGATAATTTACACTTATGTCACACTACACATACATTTTTTTTTTTCAACAAGTCGGCAATCTCCCACCGAGGCAGGGTGACCCAAAAAGAAAGAAAATCCCCAAAAAGAAATACTTTCATCATCATTCAACACTTTCACCTCACTCACACACAATCACTGTTTTTGCAGAGGTGCCCAGAATACAACAGTTTAGAAGTATATAAATATAAAAA